GGGCCCAAGGACTGAGCCCTGGGGGACTCCGCTGCCCACTTCCCCCCAGGTCAAGTACGACCCTTCAGCCAATTAGCAATCCACCTGACTGTGTAGGCATCGATGCCACAGTCGCCTAGTTTTTTAATGAGGATGGGGTGGGAGACAGTGTCAAAGGCCTTGCTGAAGTCCAGAAAGACTACATCCACGATGACACCTGCATCCAGTGCTTTTGTGACCTGACCGTAAAAGACAATCAGGTTGGTCTGACATGACCTGCCCCTAATGAAACTGTGCTGGTTGCCCTTGAGCATCATCCCCGATGCCGGCCCATCACAGATGTGCTCCTTGATGATCTTCTCAAAGAGTTTCCCCAGGATTGAGGTAAGACTGACGGGCCTGTAGTTGCCCGGGTCCTCCCTCCTCCCTTTCTTAAAGATGGGGACCACATTGGCTATCTTCCAATCATCTGGCACCTGGCCCGAGCACCATGAACGCTCGTAAAGCCATGCCAAGGGCCCAGCAATAACCTCTGCTAGCTCCCTCAACACCCTGGGGTGGAGAGCATCTGGACATGATGACTTGAACACATCCAGCCCCTCCAGAAGCACTCTAACCCAGTCCTCCTCAACCTTAGGTCTTGAGGCGTTCCCCTTGAGTCTGTCTTGAAACACGGTGGGGGAGTCCTGGTCCCTGCACAAAAAAACGGAGGTGAAGAATTTGTTAAAGAGGTCTGCCTTCTCCTCTGGCGCAACCACCTGTATGAGTTTTAATATCTTGCTTCTAACCCACTGTAAACTATTTGGTAATCCACAGCTCAGGAGAATGTTTCCTGCTCATTATTTTTGCTTCTGACATGTTGCAAGTACTATTTCTAGCAATGGGAGACTTTTTTGGAGGAATGTTTGTTCCTAAATAGATGTGGAGTTCCCATGCATGTCTCCAATCATCCTTCGCTTGGCTGGAATAACACTGATCTTTATATACCCTTTTCTGAGACTCAGAAGTGTGTGACTAGCTGGATATGTACAAATCTATATTTAATCTTTGTTGTGTGACTGCTAATTGTCTAACACCTACAGATCTTCATTTAATAGAACTTTATTTAAGGAAAAAATGGAAATAGAAAGCATATGCATTATATATAGCTAATTGCTTATAGAAAATAATTGGCTTTTGTTTCTTCTCATTGCCAGAAATGAATTTGTACAAACTCTAGAGGCATGTGGATTTAAATATCAAGAATTTCTCTTGTCTCCAACTTGTGTGAGTAGTAAGATTATAACAACTCCTCATCAAACATGGGGTACATGGAAAAGATTTTACATGCTGGAAGAAAAAAATACATTCATGTTTAGACTATTCCTCTGGATAAGTCATGCCATCTAATTTAGCTTCTGGCTAGGTCAGGGTCAGTACATATATGCTTCTAAGTGTTGTTCAGAGCTAATTCCTGTAATGGTTTAACAGCCATTGGATACGTTTTAAGTCAATAGGAATTTTATTTGTGGAAGAGATCTGGCCCTTAGAATGCTAGCTAGAAATCTCTGCATCTTTGAGGTAGTAGCTTGGGAAGTATAAATTAAAAAAGCACTTTTTCATTATGACTTGTCTCATCCAGTTCCTCATTCATGTGATAGAGCATGCCAGATAAAGGGCAGCATGTTTGCCCTAAAACTTAGGTCTAGAAATCATTTCAGTTTCTTTCACTTCCCTTTATAAATGTACACTTTATTTTTTTTAAGTTTTCTATTGATGTTTGGAGGAAGAAGCAGAAATATGAAAAAATAATCCATATGTTTAAGAAAGTTAGATAGGAAAAGTGTGATGACAAGTACAATAAACCAGTTACCACTCTGTTGTCTGTGTTGTGGGAAATGAGGGCATTCATCATATTGCTACTAGATAGAAAAACTGGGGTTTTATGGGTCATGAAAAATTACTTCTGCTCTTCACAACAAACTAACAGTGGCCCTTCATGACAAACTAACAGTGTTGAGATTTCTGCATGAGTGCATTTTTAAAACCCTTTTGTGCCAGTTGAAAATAGGTTTAGTTTAGATTAATGTTAATGTATTTGTGTGATGTAATGCTAATGTAATTGTGGTGAGAATACAATAGAATTTTTTTTTTATTAATATAAAAAGTGTAACTAGCAGTTTTCATGACAGCACAAATCATTTTGCCAGTCTGTCATGTGGACTGACTGCCTGTGGGGTTTTGCTTACAGCTTGGCATTCCAAATTCTAGACTGCGATATTTTCTGATTGCAAAGCTTCATTCAGAGCCATTTTCCTTTCAAGCTTCAGATCAGGTGAGATTTATTTCTATTCCTTAACTACTCTTTCTTTTTCTGAAGACTGGGGGATACATCTTCAGCTGTGCCCAGTTTATGCTCATCTTAGCTGTGTGAGCATGTGTGAGGGAAACAGCTTTAAGCTACCTTCCATTTTCTTCCTCACAGACCTGTTAGGGAATGAAATAGCCCCAGTTGCTTATGTGACTTATACAACCCCTTATGGGCACATCTCTGGATGAGGACAGACCAAAGTACTGAACTCTTTGTCATGATCCCCTATAGCCAGTGGAATTTTTTCTTGAAAGGCTGACTGTGTGCAGTTATGCCTGCTAAGGCTTTTAGGGAGAGAGAAAATAGGGGACTGTGCATACCCATCATTGAGGAGGACCTGGCCGATGAGGCCCAGAATATTCTGTGATGAGTGAAGGTGATAAATTGCTACCTAGTGCCCAGGAGATGTAAAAGGTAAGGTAAAAAGGAGAAGGGCATCAAGGTTGGGGAAAAGAGTGAAACTTACCCAGGATTTTACAAATATTTCAGTAAACCTATCCTGAGTTTTAGGTTATAAATCGAGCCCCAAAGGACACAACTTTCATCTGGTTCTTGTGCATCTAAAAATGCATGTAAAAAAGGTTAGTACTTAATAATACCAAAATCATTTAAAAATATTTATAGAAAGAGAGATAATAAAGTAATTGTTGTATTTTAGATAGGGATTGCTTTATCACTGCATGAACTTTATTGGTAGTTGCACAGTACAAGTATGCTACTGTAATCTTTTGCATATTTTATTTCATGCTAGATATTGACATATTTCCCAGATCAGGAGTCAAATAACTCAGTGAAGTACAAAGTTCCTCTAGGCTTAGAAAAGGACAATTCATCCACACTTGCTGAAGAGGAAAACCTTGTGCCAAACTCTGGTTTTGATTGTGGTGAGAGGCAGTGTTCACCAAAGGAAGCCTTTCTTTTTAAACTTGAAACAATGGAAGAGATGAAAAGAAAGCAGAACCAGGACAATGATTTCTCTATGCAAGTACTAAAAGACTTCCTTGAAGGGGACAGTGAAAAAATGAGCCAGTACTACTTGCCACCCAAATCCTTACTTCGCTATGCTTTCCTATTAGACATTGTTAAACCCACCTGCAGAAGGTCCACATGCTTCACAAAAGGGTAAGTCTCAATGAAAATCTATGAGTGGACCTTACCTAGATGTTCTAAATGCAGGCCTTACTTTGCAGTCCTTTTGAACACAAGAAACAGCATTTAATTAAAAAAGAGGCCTTTTTGGAACAACTTTTCTTGTAGCGTACTTTCTGATCCAGTAAAATACCAGCATGAGAATCAGTCTCTCTCTGGCAGAACATCATGTGCCCAGTCCCAAAAAGAGGTCAACAATGCTTCTTGTTTCATGACCTTCAGAGAAGCTTAATTATCTCTGCAGAAATATGGTTCCAGCAGGCTGGTAGAGTAGTAATTCATTAATGAATTTCTTTATATTGCTCCCTGAAGTTACAAAGCAGTATGCATGACAGCTCCATTTCTTATAACTGTATCTACATTTTATAGATGTTGATATTTTCCAGAGTGGGGCCAGATCCTTGGCTTTTAGGTCAGAATAGCTCCATTAACTTTAATGAAGCTCCGCCCATTGAAGATTGCTGTTCTTTAGTTATTACAGCAACAGTTAAACTTTTAATGCAGAAAAAACACAAATGATGACTCTTTCAGATGAGTATTTGGGACCTAGTTGTCTGGTAACTTCCCAAATCATATTTTGTATATTGATGACCTGATTATACAAGCTGCCAAATGGTCATCAGAGCTGGTCAAGAATTTTTAAGCTGTATGTGTTGACAAAAAATGCTGAACTATCAAAAAGTGTTTTATAGGAAGCGTTTGGTTTCAATAGTTTTTCTGAACAAAAAGAAATGTGAGAGAGGTTTTGGAAGCTTTAAAATGTTCTTTTTCACATTTTCAAAATTGAAAATTCTGTTTCTTAGTGTGAAATTTTGTTTCTTAATTAAAGACAATTATATACTACCTTTCTAAAGAAAATTGTAACAAAAATCAATCGGTTGACACAAACCTTTTTCTTTCTGTTTGTCTTTTCAGCTCATGAAAATGTTGAGATTTAAACTTTGACATGATGCAGTTTCTCAAATGTGTGACAGTTCCACACTATATAATATGTGTTGTATTTATAATTGTCACAGTACAAGTCTTTTAGAGAAGTGCCTTGTTTATATTTTATGGATGCCAAGAAAAAGATTACTGATTAAAATAAAGATTTGAAATGCCAGTATACGAAGCTGTAATTATTCACGTTTTGTCCCAAATCCATTTATTTATAAAAGTATATACAGAATATTCTGTTTAAGTATGTTGCCTTGGGACTGAAAAAAGATTGGCATTTATCAGAATTCAAAGTAAACAATACTTGCTAGTTTAGGGATCAACCCAGGCTAAGTTTTTTCACCTCATGAATCTTGTTGTTTTGTTTGGGAGAGGGCCTTATGCCTCCAGTGGCCTGAAATGGACAGAATTGTTCCAGTTCAAGATTGCTTTAGAAACTCTGAAATAGACACCTGCTAGTCAGTTTTACCAAGTATGAAATTAAAGAGTTCAGTTAGGTTAGGGCTGTACTATTTCAGTAAAGCTAGGGGTATGTGCAGCTACAGGGGGCAACACCCTCCGGCATCCTCCGTGCTGTGCAGGCCATACCAGCAGAATGCGGCTTCCTGCTCCCTGCCATGCGGGCTGGACTGTCAGCATGCAGCTCCCTCACTCCTTACCACATAGGCTGTGCTGGTTGCATGTAGACCCCTAAATCCTCCCCTGCAGCAGGAGAGGCAGCTGTGGGCCACCAGTTGGAGAGTCCTGAGTGAGGTTACGACAGTGAGGCTGAAAGATGCTATGCCCTTAAATGGTTTGTACGCTTAACTGATATGCACATAACCAGTGCTTGTTATGATGTAAGAAATAGGCAGCAGATTAGGACTGGCATTGTGTTATGCAACTGAGCAAATTATGCAAAATATGCAAATTACTCTGTGTATAAGCAGAGCTTGGTGAAGTGAGGGTTCCCATCCGGAGTGCCATGGAGATGTGGTTAGCAGAGAAAACCCTAATGAGGCCAAAAAGTATGTGGGGCACTTTAACCTGCCCGTGGTGGCACCCAGTTGAGAACCACTGAGGTAAGTTGGGGCAGCATGACGGTGGTTCTTAACTGAGGTGCTGCTACATTCAGAAAAGTTGGGGGTGGGGAGGTGCTGTGACTTTAAAAAGGTTGAGATCCATTGATGTAGTAAATGAAGAATTGGAATTCCTTGGTAATGTTGAAAAAATAGATTTAAAAGACTCGTTCCCTCTTTCCACCCCCCACCCCCCCAATTTAGCCTATTAATTACTGACCATACATTTAAAATGTGAATCAGTTACTTTTTTAATACCTGGCCCTGATTCTGAAGAGCATTTACTTATCCTTAACTTTAAGCATGTTACCACTGCTACTGACTTTAATAGGACTGCTGAATACTTAAATGCCTTGCTAGATTGGAGCAGGCATACCTAGCACCTTACATGGCTGAGCCCTTACAGGGTTATTGCACATAAGAGAAAACATTTTTCTCCTTTTTCTCCTGTGATGTGTAAAGGCTAATACAAACTTGGGGTACCACATAGCCGTGCACTGGGCGCAGCAGACCCAAATAAACCATACAGAGCACCATGCAACAGTCCTTTTAACAGGAATAGAAAATTTTAGGGAGGATAGTAAAGTAAGGATTTAGTTGATGGGGAGTGTGACCCATGATGGTCTGTTGGACAGATGATCCTTAGATGATTGCTTTGTGCAAAGCCCATCCATTTCACTCTCTAAATCTCTGTGTTCAGGACATACTTGCACAATGCTATCATGCAAACAGAGCTTGTTTCTGAGTCTGGCAAACCTATAATTATATTTAAATGATAGCTTGTGAGAGAATATAGAGTAAACATGTATTTACAGAATAAACCACAAAGACTCCAAAAAAGCCCTAGTATGGTTTATAATGTCCACTCTCTTATTATTACACACTGGTTATTTTTTCATGTCTTTTTTTTAACTGTTAAACTGTAACTCCCCCACCCCACAAAAAAACCTAACAACCAAAGACTAATGCAACAATCTGACTGAATAACTTTGCTCTTTGCACATCAGAATGACAGTTTTAGGTTCTTGGTGATGGCCATATCTTCCTATGAATTCAACAAGCCTGGTTTCGAAAACTGCAGGTAAAACGGATGTTAAATTGGACAAAGGCCCGATTTGTGAGCCCAAGGAACCATTTTATACTTAGAAATGCAAGAGTTGTGTATGCAACTTAGGTGGCCTTTTTGAAGACATTATGCAAAAAATCCATGGCTAGTTGTACTATCTAGCACTAGCAAGACTAAATTCTTTATGCAGTGATGGGAGATGATTTTCAGATGCTAGTCTAGCCTTCTCAGGGTTAGGGTTTTTTTTTTTTTTAAGAAGACTTTTTATGTGACCTTTCCAGGAGACTGTTAGCAACATCAAAATAACCTTTGTGCATTTCTGCCCTTCTCTGTAGTGTAAAGCCCAATAACATTTTTCATGTATGGTTTTGTTGTTTTTAAGGTACGGACACTATGTAGAAGGAACAGGCTCAGTGCTGCAGACAGCAGAGGATGTGCAGGTACAGGATGACTGTTCAAACAGATCAAAGCAGATAGTATTAAAAATGTTTTTATCTGTCATCTTCTGCTTAACTATTCTGGATTTATTATAATAAAAATGTCTTAAGAACTAAATTGTATGGCACAGACTAGTTGTGTTTCCCTCTAATTCACTTTAAATTCTCAGATAGGGTATATTTAAGTGCTGGATTTAAGGGGACCTTCACTTGCAATGGTGTGGGATACTAACATCACCCCTAGTGTCATGGCTGGGTGGGGAGGGGGCCACAATGGTGCTTTCTCCAAGTTGGCATACAGAGCTGTTGCCCTGCTCAGCCCACCCTAGCTACACTACTGGCAGAAGGAATGCACAACTGCAATTTAGAGGCATGTCAAAGCTACCTCTGAGCCAACTGCCCATAGCTTAATTTTAGTAAAGGTTGATTTGTAGCTTCCCACTTACTGAGTCATCTCTTTTACCCTTCACAGAAGTTTATAGTTTTGTGGTTGCACATTTGAGTATGTTGAAAAAAATGATCGATTCCTTCATGGCAGCATGGTTATTTTCCTTGTAGATACATTTGTTAAGATGTTGACTGAAGAGGTATAAGGCAAAGTATACTTTCAAACAGAAAATGCAGTTGCTGTGTTATCTTTGGCAGCACAGTCATCTGAGAAGCATTTCATAAAGATATGAATGTTGTGATGTAATTTTACATAGTCTTTGTTCATCATCCATATTTGTCTTGGACATTCTTTACAGCTTGAGTCAGTGTTCAAATTTATTGAGACATTATCAGAAGAAGAGAAGCTTAAGAAACTGTCAACGCTAAAATTGCGATACTTTACTCCTAGAGAAATAGCCAATCTCCATGGATTCCCTCCAGAATTTGGTACGTGCCCATTAAGCACCTCATTTCTAGTCCAGCCTTCAGAAGGGGAGCTAGAGTTGCCAGCATGGTATATTGAAGGGAACGTTCTGTGTTTTTTGTTCAATAATTCTTCTAATACAACTTTATTTTAAAAATAACTTCATTTCTGTTTTGTTACTATTCTTCTAAGCATTCATCAGTTTCTCTCAGTTTGTAACAACATTCCTATCTGTTGTATAATCAGATTTATTTTTATCATCTTAGAAAAGTAAACTATGGGATCTAAATCTTCTCTTTTCTTGAATGGCCATGAAGCAGAGGCCTTTGTTTGGTTTAGAAAATATTGTTTACTTAAGAATAGCGAACATTACTGACAACTATAATAAGGCTGCATCTGTTGTCAGTTTGGGAGCTCTGTTATAACTATCAGTGTTAAGAACTACTGGCTTTCCCCCTCATGCACCATTTGCAACTTCTGAGGTAAGTGGGTGACCTGCAAGAAGCACAAGCAGAAAGGAGCAACAGGGAAGGGAAGCAGTTTCAATCTTCCTGAAAAAGTAGGGCAATTGGCTAGTTACCTCAGGTGTCTATACACGAATGCAGAGCCTGGGAAAGAAGCAGGAAAATTGGAATTCCTCGCAGTCACAGAACTATGACATGATAGGAATAACAGAGACTTGGTGGGATAGCTCACATGACTGGAGCACTGTCATGGATGGGTACAAACTGTTCAGGAAGGACAGGCAGGGAAGGGAGAAGAGGAGAAGGAATAGCTTTTTATATAAAAGGACTGTATGATTGCCCAGAGCTCCAGTACGAACCTGGAGATAGACCTGTTGAAAGTGTCTGGGTTTGGATCAAAGGAGAGAGCAACAAGGGTGATGGCATGGTTGGTGTCTGCTATAGACCGCCAGGCCAGGAGGACAAGGAGGATGAGGCTTTCTTCAAACACCTAGGGGAAGTTTCCCAATCATAGGTGCTGGTTCTCTTGGGGGTCTTCAATCACCCTGACATTTGCTGGGAGGGCAATACAGCAGTGTAATCCAGGCAGGTTTTGGAGAATGTTGAGCACAATTTCCTGTGCAAGTGTTGAAGAGGCCAATGAGGAGCAGTGCTCTTTTTGACCTGTTGTTCACAAACAAGGAAGAATTGGTGGGGAATGTAGTAGTGGATGGCAACTTGGGCATCAGTGACCATGAGATGATTGAGTTCAAGATCTTGAGGGAAGGAAAAAGGAGAAAAGCAGAATAAGGACCCTGGACTTCAGAAAAGCAGACTTCTATTCACTCGGGGAACTGATGAGGAGGATTTTTGGGAGCCAGTCTGAGTGGGAAAGGTGTCCAGGAAAGCTGGTTGTATTTTGAAGAAACCTTACTGAGGGCACAGGAACAAATCATCCCAATGTGCAGGAAGACTAGCAAGTATGGCAGAAGACTAGCTTGGCTTAGCAGGGAAATCTTGAATGAGCTAAAAACAAATAAAGGAAGCTTACAGGAAGTGGAAACCATGGAGCAGGTCCTCAAGGAATCCATTTATAAGCACCTGGAGGAGAAACAGGTGATTAGGAACAGTCAGCATGGATTCACCAAGGGTAAGTCATGCCTGACTAACCTGATTGCCTTCTATGATGAGATGACTGGCTCTGTAGATGTGGGAAGAGCAGAGGATGTGATATACCTTGACTTGAGCAAGGCTTTTGATATGGTCTCCCACAACATTTTCACAAGCAAGCTAAGGAAGTGCAGGTTGGATGAACAGGCTGTAAAGTGGTTAGAAAATTAGCTGGGTCGTTGGTCTCAGAGTAGTAGTCAATGGGTTGATGTGTACGTGGCAACTGCTATCAAGTGCAGTGTCCCAGAGGTCAGTCCTGGGGCCAGTTTTTTTGTTCAATATCTTCATCAACAGTATAGAAGATGAGTTGATGTACACACTCAGCAAGTCTGCAGTTGACACTAACCCTAGGGGAGTAGTAGATGCACTGGAGGGTAGAGCTAGGATTCAGAGTGACCTCAACAAATTGTGGGTTTGGACCAAAACAAATCTCATGAGGTTCAATAAGGAGAAGTGCTAAGTCCTGCACTTAAGATGGAACAATCCCATGCTGGGGACCAACTGGCTAAAGTAGCAGCTGTACAGAAAAGGATCTGGACAGTAAGCTGAATATGGGCCAACATTGTGCCCTTGTAGCAAAGAAGGCTAACAGCATAGTGGACTGCATTAATGACATGACTATGATAATGACTTACCAGCAGCTGAAGGGAAGTGATTCTTCCCTTCTATTCAGCACTGGTGAGGCCACATCTGGAGTACTATGTTCAGTTTTGGGGCCCCTACTACAGAAATTATGTAGACAATTTGGGGAAGAGTCCAATTGGAAAAAATGGTTAGGGGCCTGGGGCACATGAATTATGAAGAGAAACTGAGGGAACTGGGCTTATTTAGCCTGGAGAAGAAAGACTTGGGAGGATTTAATAGTAGCCTTCAACTACCTGAAGGTTGCTTCCAAAGAGGATGAAGTTAGACTGTTCTCAGTGGTGGCAGATGACAGAACAAGAAGCAATGGTCTCAAGTTGCAGCAAGGGAACTTTCTCACCAGGAAAAGGAAGAATTATTAGGGAGAACTTTCTCACCAGGAGAGTGGGAAAGCACTGGAACAGGTTACCCAGAGAAGTTGTAGAATCTATATCTGTGAAAGTTTTTAATACCCAGCTAGACAAAATCTTGCTTGGGATGATCTAGTTGGAGTGATCCTGCTTTGAGCGGGTGATTGGACTGAATGACCTCCTGAGGTTCCTTCCAACCTAATTTTCTATGGTTCTTTAATTCTGACGGAAATGGAACTACAACCGTGCATCTGGAGAATATCTCCGTAACTTCAGACAAGCTCTGGTTTCCCCAAATGGTTCTAGCTTCTAGCCACTGATTTTTATATATATATATATAATGGTTGCATTGAAACTGGGTATGTCTACATGAGATGCCAGTGTGCAGGTGTTACTGTGCATTTATTTAGTACTTGTATTAGCAAGTACTAAATATGTACAGTAACCGGAGTTACTGTGCATTAGCACCAGCGAACATCTTTCAAGTGACGCTACTGTGTAGTAGTCTAAAATACTGTGCAGTAGCATATTACCACTCTGCTGTGCTGTGACACAATACTGTGCAGTATTTTTCAGCTACTGTGCAGTCACTTACTGCACTGAGGAGTCTTGATGATTGGTCAGTTACTGGCTACTCAATATTGAGATAATAACACTCTGATTTCTGAACAGGAAGTAGTCTTTAACAGGTTTTTTTAGATGTAAAAAATTGAATTATTTTTAGGAAAGTTCTAAGTCCTGTATATTTGACCATGCTAACAGAGAAAGCTACTTTTAGAAAACATATGATAATGACATGTCTAGTTGAATTTTGAGATGGAAATTTGGACTTTTTTTTAGCGTTGAGAGAGTTTTTTCAGTTTACTTTGGTTATATTAAAACCTGATATATAGGGCACATCTATATGTTACCCAATGTCACTGTAGCAACATGCTATGTTGCTGTATGACATGCTATAGCAACGTAGCGATCACGTGAGTCTACACATGACTGGCAGCTACTTCGTGTAGCAGTGCTCTCCCCTGTTTTAGCATGTCACTATGGCAAATAGTAGCTAAAACTAACCACGTGCTGCATGCACGGCTCAGTATGGGCAGTTCAAATGGAAGTACTAAAGCATGGCACAGTAACAACATTGCCATAGGGTGACATGTAGACGCACCCATATATATCTATATAGCTCTCTCTATATGTATATCTATAGCTAGATAGATATGTGTGTGTGTATCAGATTTTAAGTAACCGAGATAAAATATATATATATATATATATATATATAATTTTTTTTTTCAATCCAGAATCCCCAGCCCACCTCTGCCAGATTTTAACATCTATCTGAAATATCTGCTTCAAGCTTGAGATGGGAGACTGGACTAAGGATAGGGAATTATTTTCTTCTTTGGCAGTGTTCAGGAGTAGCTAGTTTCTCTAGTTATTGATCCTTTTGGGTCTCCCCATACTCTAACAAAGGCTACAAGTAGCCCTTGGTCAAAGACAGAATCCCCAGCCCACCTCTGCCAGATTTTAACATCTATCTGAAATATCTGCTTCAAGCTTGAGATGGGAGACTGGACTAAGGATAGGGAATTATTTTCTTCTTTGGCAGTGTTCAGGAGTAGCTAGTTTCTCTAGTTATTGATCCTTTTGGGTCTCCCCATACTCTAACAAAGGCTACAAGTAGCCCTTGGTCAAAGAGGAACAGTGTCACCAGCCTAGCAATGACTCCCATTCAGAGAGGACAGATGTTTGTGGAGGATGGTAAACTTGAAGATGGCAACACAAATCCTGAAATTCATGGAATTGTGGTCCGTAAATGAATCTGTATTAATTTACCAATTTGCCCCACCAAGAGGCCAGTTTCCCCCACCATGAATCAAGTCAGGAAGGTGGGTGTTTTACGTGTTATGAGGTACTTGCCAAATGCCACCATGTTGGCATTATTTACTTTCTCACAGCAAAAAGTCTGCTGTGACAGACTTCTTTTATTGCAAGCCAAGGTAATTAAATAAAAAACCGAGTTTCCAAGATAGATTACACTCCTGTGTGGTTTCTGTCTTTGCAACAGTTCTGCAAGTCATATTTTCTCTGGTTCATGCAGGAGACATTTTGCCGAGATTCCCAAACTAGAGCCATTGCTTAGGAACTTCTGCACTTGATAGATAAAGCCAGAGATGAGCTTCTTGAAAATAGTGAATTTAGTGATCTTAGAACAGTTTGTTATTTACTACTGGCAGGTCCCAGGGAATGGGTCTACTGCCATTAGGTTAACACAGAAACATTAAAACTGACCACACCATTCTTGTACTGGTGACTTGCTTTCAGGAGAGTGACTTCAGAGCATGCAGAAGGCTTTTGCTTTGTCCACTTGACTGTTGTTGATACAGGAATGACAGGGATGCAGACCAGAGAATGACTTACAACAAGACAAAACATTTGGAGCTAATCCTCATTTGCACTAGAGCTTTGCCAGAGTAATGCAAAGGAAGCTTTGTGTAAATGGGAATCAGGCACACAACACTTGGTGGAAAAGCAATTAATGGTCAGTTAGAGTCAGAGCTCTGTGGTAGTGTATGTGTTTAGATAGCAGCATCCCTGAGCAACAAAGACTTTGAAATTAGGCACCAAGGCGCTTCAAACCTCTGGCCACCAAGTCTGCAGATGTAGGCTAGACTCAAGTCATTTCTCCTTGAAGTAAGAAATCCAAGATAATTTATCCAGGCAAGTAAGAGAGTTAGGGCTTGTATCTGTCTAGGGAAGGGAGAGGAAACTCCACAACCATTACTGTTCAAACACGCTTATTAAATACATTATATGTAATTTATACGATAGATCAAATGGAAACTTCATCTAGGAGAATATGTATGGGGATCTAAGAAACATTCAGCCAAGTAACTGACCCAGAGGAGGAAAGTGGATGCCTAAATATTGGTGTCAGTGAACTGGGCAGAACATCTGGAGCTGGCAGAGAAAGTGCTTACCACAGTAGTCCATATATAAGCCTTACAAACTGGCAGAGAAATATGGAACAACTCCTCCCAGCCACCTCCTCCTTGGCTTTCAGCCCTTGTTTCCGATGATCTCTGGCCACATTTTCTCCTGTGCTCACTCTGGATGGGAGTTTTCCAATGAAGTTTGTACAGCATACATTTTATAGGCATAGTTATAGTTATAGGCATAGTTATAGGCATACTCTTCCCTGATACACATGCACACACAGGCCTTTATATGTATAAAAGTTGCCTGAAATTTAATGACCCCAGGAGCTTCTTCTCAGTTCTTTCTCCCCATCCTGGCCAGGTTAAATTAGCCTGGGCCTCCATCTTTCCTTCTCCCAGCCCTTGCTTCTCCAGTATGGAGACTTTCTTAGTGCTTTCTGCAGAGCTCATATATGTTACTTGTCACTGCTGATTTACATGGTGAGTTTTGGAGTTCCTGAGGATCCCCACCAAAAGAAGGCCTAAGCAGCCTGCTGAATCATCACATTTTCTGGCGGCTGTGACCATACCCTTCTTTCAGTACCATTGCTGTCTTGGGGCATCCCACTAAAAGACTGCAGAGCAGGGACTGTGCAGTATTTATTCTGCTACAACTCCTCCCCACCTCTCCCCCCCCCAAAGAGGGCCCCTCTTGCATCATGGACCTTGGACATCCTGTGCCATGTCAAGGAGAGACGAATCAAAATTGATTGCAGGTTAAGCTACATTTTATAGTCATTTGTAAAGTTAGAGATCTGTGCTGCATGTTACAGTTGTTCATAACTTTACCTGGAATTGTTTGTGTAAATCCAAAAACCTGAAAAGAAAAGAAACACTGAAATTAATTTTGTCTTTGTATTGTACAATTTTTTTTTTGTCTGTAGGTTTTCCTGACAAGATAACAGTGAAGCAGCGCTACCGTCTCCTAGGAAATAGTCTCAATGTACACATTGTGGCTAAACTGATTTCACTTCTGATCAGATGATTTTGAACCTGAATTTGATGAGGAGTACTTCTGTCAGGCCTGCTAACTCAGAATATAACTTCCTTTGAGTAACATAGTGACGCTGATAGCAGCTTTACAAAAATAATTGCTAACTCAAATCTCTGTCTGAAATGGCTAGATATATTCTGCTGAACATTGTTTTTGAACATTTGAGCTGATATTTGTGTTTGAATATTTGAGCTGTTGGAGCATACAGGTGCACTATTAAATGTATACTGCCAACACCTTGATTGTTTTACTTATATTTTATTTTTAGTTTGTAAAATATAAACTATAGCATTTACGTGTCCCTCTTAATGCAGATGGGTAGAACTGTCATATTACGTCACAAAAATTGGGCTAGAATATAAAACAGATGTGAATGTCAGGTATTTATTTGTTCTGCATTCAGGATATTCTTTACAACTGTAAGTATCAGCTTAATGTGTTCTTATGAGGTTTGTTGTAAAAGTTGTCTAATAGTTTACTGTACTTTTAATGCTTTTATAATACCAGTACTTTATATATTTTTAAATAGACACAATGTTGATTGTAAGTGTCTATCTAATCTTTGTAAGTACTTATGTCCTCAGATCACAGTTGTGTTTGTGTCATTTAGGAACAACCCATGAAATATGCTTTGAGGTTATTAGAGCCCTTACAATGCTCCCACTCATCATGTTCTAGCTTATCTTTTTTCCTTCTTTTAATATATTTTTGTCAGTATGAGTTAAATTAGGTATTATCCTCTGCAAGACATTTATTTTAGGGAACTCTTACGTTTCCTCTGATCCCTTTATATTGTATAAAAGCACCTGCTTGGCATAAAAGAGCCCTTAAAGCCCTGTGTCCAGTTGCAGGAGGATTTCTTTGATTATAGTAACCAGAACAAAGTTATTAGGAGGTCATTCAAGAACCCCTTCACAGACATGGGGGCAGAGCTGCAGGTAGTTAATGTTTGTTGGGGTAAGGCTACTACTACATGAAGCGCTGGATGTTCTGGGTGGTGCAGCAACTCATAAGCAGCTGGAGACATCCTGCAGTTATTAAGGCATGGACAAATGTATGCATGCTTGGAGTGGCTTCAGAAGTGGACGAGGTCCTGCTTGAGAGCACGGAGGACCTGTTATGCTCTGTTAATTTGCATACATGTTTGTAGCTGTTCAGGTGAATAAAAGTGTCCCAGTTTTAACCCTGGATTAAGCAGGGTTGAAGTTAGAATGATTTTTCATTTGTAACATATGTATCCCTATAAACTTCTGTTTGTCTGTAGCTGCAGTTCCCCATCTTTTCTGAAACCACTCTAAGCATAGGCTTTCCCTTAGATCATCTCCCAGGTGCTACTGTTACTAGTGGCTGCAGAACAGCTGTGAATTGGAGAGGCATACAAGCAATTTAAGCCACTTTAGTTCTTTCCAGGCTGTGAGTTTTGTTTCATCATTAGAGATCGGCATAGCCGATTACCCATATGCAATCTTATGGAAATGTATTGAAAAATTCATTGATCTTGCAAGTCTCATTTGTGCCACTAATCTTAACATCTATGCAGAAGTTGTGGGAAAACTGCAAAACAACCAGTGTACCAAAGAGATACAGGTCTAGGTTTATGCACAGATGTTGCTGCCCTGATCTTTGGAAGAAACTGTGGTGCGGTTGAAAGACACATGGATTAAGCTAAACTTGGTAAATATAGGAGATAACGTAAGTTAGAAAGCAGAATGTCACTTTGAGGAACTAGCATCTACTCTAAAATGCCATCTGCCCAAGAGAAGGCAGACATAAGGATTTCTTTAGGCTGTTGCTCTTGAGCACCAAGGTACCAAAAGCACCACTATACTTGAAAACTTAAGAAGAAAAAATTCTTCAGAAAACAAAACACTTGTAATGAGGACCTAGCCACAGCAGATCATGCTTTTGCCATTTCCAGGTGGGTAATGCAAGGTCTCCTATCTGGGACTGAATGCCATATAGAAACTGCAGCCACTCTGTTCCATACTTGGATTGTTTTTCATACACAAGTTCCCCTCTTTCTAGATCACTTTTGTTTTGTGTGCTGCTCCTGATTTGAATAAGCTTGGCCTGAGCTACCTCAGAGCCTACCTCTCCTTTTTGATCCTGCAAGAGCAATTACAACCAACCGTGCCACTGAATTGTCAATTCTCAGAATGAAACTGTGGGGGCTTAGGCATTGGATTCTTGTAGAAGGCCCTGGATCACTAAGCCATCTTTCATTTTAGATAAGGTTGACCCCTTGCGATGGTTCTTGCAATGACACATGAGGAGAACAACCCTATGATAGTCTCCTGGATTGCACCTTCTTTTAAACAAATCCTGTTTTGAATTAAATAAGTCGTGAACTGTAGTTTTGTTCCCATCCATGGGAACATGTCATGTGATGGTGGGATATATCTTTGTGTGTCTATTAATGTGATTAATGAATGTTGTATGATTGTAGGATGCAGGAATAATTGATCAGCTATGCATTTTACTTCTGACAGATTCAAGCAAAACAATCTTTTTCTAACACGGATTCTGTTATACAAGCATATATAGAAGTGTAAATTTGTGCTTTTATAAAATCATGTAATTTGATATACAAATTAACAATGGTTTCTCGTAAAGCTTTATAGTAACGATGCATGTAGCAGAATTTGGGCCTGTGATAGCCTAGTAGTAACATTTTGCTGAAGAGTTTATTTATAAATTAAAGGAGTGGGTCGAATAGAGATCTCTTCCTTCCTTTCATTCCCATGTATCAACTCAGCAGAAATAAGGGGGCTGAAAAGTCTTGCCACTTACTAATTTTTTGTGGTCTTATTCACCAAGTGTTTAGCCACAGTGCCTTGGCTGTAGCTATGACATTTAAGAAGTAGGTCTAGGACAGCTTAGCTTTCAGTATCACACTAGATCAGGTGTATAAAGTCCAGTACAGCAGTGCCAAATGGTGATTGTATAGTTCTAAATTCGACTTGGAATTACAAAGTGATTGGGTAGACAGTTAAGAAAAGAATTCCAGTTGTTTCAGGGTGTTTGCAAACAATATAATGTCTGGGAGACCAGCTTTGTGGTTACTGTGTGCTCACAACAGGAGGAGCGGGACCTCCCCACTTGACTGCACCTTGTGCCTCCTGCCTGCCTTTACCTCTGCCTGGAGCAGCACCGCTGACTTGGGGATTGGGGAGGGGACACCAAAATACAAGTTCACCTAGGGCACCATTTTCTCTAAGGCTGGCTCTGCTGCCTCCCACTCACACGTAGTAGAGTCAGTAGGGAAACCTTGCCTCTGCCTGCAGCAGCCAATTCTGGGACTTTTGTTTCAATTTTCACCAACTGGTCGGGACTGGCCTATGAAATCCGCGACTGTTGTGGCCAAACTGGGCCATATGGTCACCCTACATAAGAGAGAGTGCCTTGAACGCATGGATCAGAGTGTTTTTTTTATTCTTTTACTCCAGATTGCCCCAAGGAATGGGAGTAACTGGATTAAGTGTACTAGCCTCTGTTGCATTTAGTATATCACCAGTAGAACTATTTACTGGGTTCCAGTGAGCCATTTTAATCCCAATGTTCATTGAATTATATTGTCTTTTGTGCAACCTACCAGTCAGAAATGTCTGCAAACCAATTAGTCTGAGATCAGTTCATGCTCAACTTTGCAACGTTTAGCTACCAGTTATGAAATGTGATACCTGTGAAACCTCTTTACTTCTAATCGAGTGGCACCAGGGTCTGTAGTAGTTCTGTGGATATTGAACAAGGAATAGAATCCAGATCTCACCTCAGCTCAGTTGCTTTGCTAGAAAATGCAGTTCATGCTCTGCAGGTCAGAAGGTCTGACTGAATATAGGCAGAAAACATGATGAGGTAGGTGGTATCATTTTTACTTTTCAGAGTCATCTTAAATTTGTAAATGTTGCCATTTGCTTTAAATCAGGAGTGGGCAAGATATGGCCTGCGGGTTGAATCTGGCTCACCAATTGAGTATATCCAGCCCATGGCTGCCCCTGTGGTGCGACGCATAGGGTTCAAACTTGCCCAGGGAAGCCAACACTGTAATCCCACCTGCATCTACCCCATGCCTACCAATGGTTCTGCCTCAGCACTGGTCCTGGCCAGCATGCACAGCTTCCCAACAGGGCTGGTCCTGCTGCTGCCACAGCTGCCTGGGTACTGTTCAGCTCTCCCCCACCCCAGCAGCTCTTCCTCCTTCTGCCCATGCTGCACTGCACCAGTTTCGGGGGAAGCTGGAGGCAGATGGCTTCTACCCCAGCGCATGGGCTCCAGGTTCAGTTCCCAGCTGCTTTCCACCCACTCCAGATTGGATACAGGGGTGGGGTGCACCTGCACTGCATTGCCCGGGCAAACTCAGCTACATGTGCCCCCTCCTTCCTCCCTTCTCCCACCCCCAGCTGGCTCCTGGAACCTAGCACACAGGCAGTGCCACCCAGCCCCCGTGCCCCTCCCAACACAATATACAAGAGTAAGAATTTATTTTTAGCTAATATGCAATCACCTTGTGTATATATACTACTCAAAAAAAATCAAGACAAACATATTTTTTTAAATACAATTAAATATGTTATAGTAGATGTTTGAATTTTAGTATATGTTTTGTTTTTTTATCTATAATTTGTTAAAATGATATCTTCTGACATATTTTATATGTGTAGCCCTCAACGGCTCACCAGAACTCATTAAATGGCCCGTGAACCAAAATAATTGCCCACCATGCATTAGATAATATATTCGTTATCTAAACCAATTTTACCAAAGTAAATCTCTGAATTATCTGGGTTCGGTTTTAGGATCATATCAAATTCTGGAGGTTTATCCATGCAAGAACTAAGAAAGACAAATTGATATTTCGCTGTCAGTTTTGTCTTAAAACCTCGAAGATGAATTATTCATCCTCTGCTTACCCTCTAATATTGTATAATGTTAGATATTTGAACTGTGGTTGATCAATCAGTAAATTGGCCTCATTTTAAAATATTTAAGTTCATTCCCTTCCCTTTGTAAATGTCAAAAACCCATTAGAAATCTAATATATCTTGCCTCATAGATACTTGAAGCCAATTTTGTGCTGTTTGTGTTGTGGCTTCTGTGTGTGTGTGTGTGTGTGTGTGTGTGTGTGTGTGTACACGCACGTGCACAGTGGTTGAAAGAATATGGGTGAATCAATAAATGTTTCCTGTACTTGGTTAGAAGTGCCATGCCCTTCTGGGCAATTTTAGACAAATTAT